CTGGGGCATGTAGTGAACTTTTTGTATTTGGACTTTTCAGAAGGACACAGTGAGAGATGTCAAACGATCAGGAAGTGTGGGGGTGACTGGATGTGAAGGCTGCCCTGACTTTGGAGGATTCCTTTGACTTTGGGTCGACACAGATGAAACTGTCATCTTGTTGCATATGCATGTGCTTCTGGACGCCCATATGCCTGCTCCCTGTTTTAACAATTCAAATCAGCTCTGTCCACACGGCAGGTCTGCAGAGGCCGGGCGACGCACCAACTCAGACATGCAACAATCAATCACCGCTAAAGGTAGCACTTAATCATACTGTATACATTCTGTTTCATGTGGAGTTTGTATATTAGTCTTTTTTTTTTTTTTTTTTTTAGATCTTTTTTTGGGGCCAGTTTTGCCTCCATTATGACATATGACAGCTGAATAGAGACAGGCAATGCCGGGAGCAGATGGGGAATAGGGACGAGACTGGACCACAGCGAGACGTCCCGTCCATGTAAATATGGTGTAGATACAGGTCAGACAGCGAGACCTGCGCGCCTCACTCATAGATAGTCATGACTCAGAGGTATTTACACGTGTTGGTTATATTGTCCAGACGGCACGTTTCCTACTGTACATCTACCTCTGAATGTATCAACTCTACAGTCATCACACAGCAGACTGGTTTATACCCTTTAATCTGTAACTAATAACAGACGTGATATAACCTTTAAAGCCCTTTACAGTGATTCAAATCTGACAATGAACTGGGAAGAGGCATACAGTGCTAGGCACAGCTGTTTCAAAGGAAGCATTACAACACAACATCACTAAATGATGCTGTTCTTCAACTCTACAACTCACTTAGCAGACGCTTTTATCCAAAGCGATGTACATCAGAGAGTAAGTACAACTGCAACGACCGAGAGAGGAGGAAACAACGTCAGTAAGTGCAAACATACGGCTTTAAGTCCGATCGGAAACACAGGTGCTGACAGGAAGCGACCAGAGGAAAAGCACAACATCCACAGCTGTTCTTGAGTTCTAATCAGCATCAAAAACCTCCTAAAATCGTCATTATCAAACAAAACCAGTCATCATCAATATCATTAAGTGCGTAAGTATTCATAAAGAGCTGGGTCTTTAGCTTTTATTTAAAGGTGCAGAGGGACTGCGGATCAATGGAGTTTGGAAGTCCGTTCTGCCACCGGGGGGCGACAGAGGAGAAGAGTCTAGTTAGCGTCTTAGGACTCTGTTGTGAAGGTTGGATCAGACACCTTTCATTGGCAGAGCGTAGAGGCCATGAGGGAGTTTTCTTGTCCCCTTAGTCCCAGTAAATTCAACATAAAGGTCATATTCACATTAAGTGAATACTGTCACCTTTGCCACCTGCTTCAAAGGATGACCATGTAACCATTACTTCCTGTTTAAAGCTCTCGACCTAAGCTATCTTGTGTAGAAATTCAAAGTCATATTAGTTAATTAAAGAACCAAAATATGTAAAAAATATATATATATATTAGGCCTTGGTTTAGAAATACCAGACGAATGTCTTTATGTTTCTGTGAGGATTAAAAATAACAACAAACTGTGGACACTTATTAGTGTAACAGTTTTATTTATGTAGAGCCGGCGCCGGCCTTCTGTGCAGTGGGAGTCGATTACAGTGCTGCATATGTGCATGCATATGAATAAGCATCAGTTGACTGTAACAAGTGCTCCAAATGAAAACAACTTAGCCTGCACAACACAAATACAAACACACGCACACAAACACTCCAGTGGTGTGTGTTTGAGTCTATTTGTGGCTCTAATTGGCACATTCACTGGGCAGTAAAAGGCTCTCCTTGCTGGCTTAAAGCCTACAGCTGTACAGCATGCTTGGTTGCATCCGTCCAATAGAAGGGGCTTGCCCCTCGCACTGCAGACAACAATGCCTCTGCCATGGAGACAGGAATACAACACGGGGGGAAAAAAGCTATAATCCGCTGCATAATCCTCTTGAGTCAGGATGTTACAAAAATCAAGGCCACGCTGCCATGCGTTGAAACTATTTTTACATCAGCGCTGTGCAGACGGAGCAGATGGAAGGGAGGAAACTCTGTGAAATTGTCGGTTTTCTGCGAAGCCCCTCTGACAGTGATTTCATTTTCTACAGCGTCTGTCTCGGTCATTAGGGAAGCACTCAGGGTGCTCAGTCCCCCAGCCATGTGATGAGTCTTCAATTCTCTGTCAGTGTGAATGAGAGTAAAGTAAGCTATTGTATGCACTCTACACTATTCATTTCATGTTCAGCACAGATCAATTCCATCTGTTTTCTTTGTGGGGGGGGGGTGTTCCCTTAAAGGGGAGTTCTGTTAATTATTTAACCTGGGCCCTTTGCTTACATTTTTTTTTTTTTTGACTCATTCGCTCAAACTGCTCTAATAGACAGCTTCGATTGTCAGCTGTGTCTCAGATTGAGTTTGACAAAATTACAGTTAGGACCCCTGCGGAAAAAAAAAACCCATCCTGTTGATGAGTTATCTCCTAAAATCTTGCCTTATTTTCCTTATATTCTTAAACCAGAAACAGCCGCAACATCGTTCTCTCTCAAGCCAGCAAACCAGACTGCATTGATAAAGACAGTCATTTTACCCTACAGAGCATTGAAGATGCTTTCTGCAGCGTGTTTGATCTGTGGTTTGTGTGTGTTATTATGTTACAGTAGATCTGAACCAACCATTGACAAAACAAATTCACACACAAATGCTACAGGAACAAAAACACAGCCGACTAAAATCCCTGTTTTCTGCAAGGCAGAATGAATGGTTTTGTCTGGTGGCTTTGAACAAAAAGCACCCTTTTCAAAACCTTTTAGCTTTTAGACACTTTGCAATCTGAGCCTCACAGATGCAAAAAGAACATCAGGTGCAATACTTACCACCTGCATGTATTGCAACTGTAGGCTGAAGCAATCAGTTTAAGAAATCTAAACTGTTTTGTACACTTTACTCAACTTAAATCTATGAATATGTACAACATGTTTATGTAGTAGTGGTTGTAGGAGTTGTATTTAGATCAGCATTAACAGTTTCTCACTATCCACTAACAGTTGAGCATCATGTGCGCCCTCTGTCTTCTTGTTCTGAAGGTCTAATTCACAAAGCGCCAATGATATTCAGGCCCAAACATCCTCTTAAAATTGTTGTGAAAACTCTTAAACTTCTAAGTAACTAAACAACAAAGAAGCAAAACCAGACACATCTTTTTTTCACCTTACTTTTTAAATGTACTGAACAACACATTTTCTTTCTCTATCCTGTATGTGTGCAGATTAAACAAATATGTGAATAAGAGGGCCCAGACTTAAAAAAAAAATATGGTGTGATTCCCCTTTAAGTGAAAGTCAGAGCAGAGGTCAGAGGTTTATATTGGCACACATAAAGGAGAACTTGGTTTGACCCAGAGCCTGGTGAGTGAGCTGATCACCACCTCCCGCTGGGCCAAAAACTCCAAAGGATTCCTCACATACCACCGCTTCAATTACAGAGGCGGGGAGGAGAGTGGACACACCGCAGACTGCCTGCATGGGGAAGAACAGAAAAACTGCACCGCCTGCGAAGAAATAACACACTCTGCGGATATATATGGGCGGAAATCCAGAGAGGAAAACTGTAATTTAATAACAAGGATAACAGAGTTTTTACTTTAATATTCCACATCTCTGACATTTAAGAACCAATTAATGCTGCTTTAAGGTAAAGTATACAATATATAGCAGCCGTGACAAGCCTTATTGAATACTTTTCATGTATCCATGTGGCATGGTGGGTGTGTGCACTGTTGCCTAGCAACAGCTGCTGTAAGTGGGAAGAGACAGACAAGACTGCTGGCAGGGCAGATGTTGGGAGGAATTTCTAAAAGTAGAACATCTGAGAGCGTCAGACTGAGACTGCCGGGTCTTAAAGAAACAGCTCAGACAAACGAATCAGAAACAAAAAATCGGATGTCTGCGGGTACCCAGATACAGCGGAGGTACATGAAACATGAGTTTAATGTGCTTAAAAACCTGCACAAATAAAACCAAGCATCATCACGCTTCCCTTATTTTAATGCTGCAGGGATGAACTGGGAGAGCTATACATGTAAGTAACTGAAAGAGCTAATAAAACTTCACTGTATCACTTAATACAGTCAGAAAAAAAATACAAACATATGCCATTTAAATTATAGAATGGATGCCAACCCACAGTCCATTTTGTGTTTACACATCAATTAGAGTTTCCCACATAATAACCGAGAAGCTATGGGCAGGTATGGAGATACACGAGTTAGATATTTCTATACTGAAATTATTTTCAAAAATGTGGTGAGAAAGTTAAAAAAAAAAACAGCAAAACTAGACCTAACCTAAGTTCACCAAAATCATTTACAGGAGGAATCTATTTTTGAGATACAACTGAAACCTTAACCTTTGACCTTTATACACCAAAATCTGATCACTTCTACCCTGCGTACATGTCAACTTTTGTGCCAATTCTGAAGCTTTTCCCTCAAGGTTTTTCTGAGATATTGCTGAAATAATATCAATTTAAGGTAAATGTACATACTTTATCCAGAGTTATAAATTGCATCAAACTGTTCGAACTGTATACGCTGACGTTGACTGTTTGATGCTGTTGAAAGCTAAAAATAAAATGGAAATGGAAATAAACCATCATTTTTTTAGGAAAAGGGGGAAAACTACTGAGCCACCGTGCCAAAACAAACCAAGGACTCTAAAGGCCAGGAAAGGAACAATCATGGATTTGAATGCAACTTTCAGAGTGTTAAACTTGTGCTTTTCCTTGAAGACTGTTTTGTCTAATCTTAGGAAGACTATTTACATGTCCTTATTTATACTCTAAAAACAGAATAACCTTCATTGTTTGAATTAACTTCACAAAGGCTGTCAGGAGAACTCCGTCTGAAATGCCCTTCACAGAGAGAAAGCCCAGTGTATCATGTAGACTGGGGAGGTGATGAAATCCTACCTTGCAGCCTTCACAAGCACTGACGCCATAGTGGTATCCGGAGGACTTGTCCTGGCAGACGAAGCAGGGCTTGTAGACTCTCGGAGGGGGCGGCGGGGACGGCGGGCTGGGGACGAGCTCCTCAGAACTGGTGCTCTGTGTTTCAATGGCTGCAGGGAATGCAAACGAGAGGAAAAGATTTAAAAAAAGGCATGTTTTTGACATATGACATAAAGATTCATTTAGACAGCTGGAACTGTCAAAAAGACATTCATATTTTAGATGGGAAAAGAAAACATGACTCTGAATATGACTCTACGTATGCAGCTTAGGACAATTGTTTTCTCAGCTCTTTATAGCTTCTAACCACTGCTGGAAAAAAACCCTGCTCTAAATGTCAAAGAGGGATAACACCATGCCATTGACATTTGACAATCCTCATGTTCCCAAAGAAAACTGTTTTCCTCCTGAATTGTTATTATTTGTCGAATACTTTGGTTAATGTCCAAATACCTGCAAAGTGAATGACATCTTAACATCTTTTGCAGATTCGGAAACATTAGCATGCGGACATGCTTAGCGATCATGTGCAAAAACACACCTGCTAAGCTTCAGCATGTTAGCTTTGCCAGTGAATTGGTGTTAGCATGCTGTTAACAACGTAGCTCAATGCACAGCAGTAAAATGAGTTCATGTTGTCAGTCTGTGCAACCTATAGAGCAGCTTTGTATGATTTGCAGCTCAAGAAACTCTTTATTTATCTCATACTGCCAACCATAAAAATGCTAATTTCAGTTTATGTTTCTTTAAAGGTGGTGGTGGGGGGGGCAGAACGCTGCAGGGCTGCCAGGACAGGGCTGCTCTTGAGTGCAGGAACAAGAGAGCCAATGTATAGAGGTTTTAATGTCTAACATTGAGGCTTGAAGCCGTCTTGTGAAATCCTGTGTTTCATAACGGGGAGCGATCGCATGATTTGCAGAACAAGCTGCTTAGCGCCCTCTGAAGGCTTATCCTGGGATTACCCCAACATACGTTTACATCATGATCTGAAACTTTGCCCATGTTTATATGGGCATCCAGCACTGTAACACTATAGGTGAGTTTTAAAATGGTGATCAGTATAAACGGTCAACTTTTAATTTCCATACTCACACGAGACAGCATTTTAGCTCAAACAAATCAACTTTAATACAAATCTCAAAGTGCTTTAGAATCAGCACAAAGCTTAAAAGTCCCCATATTTAACATTTAAGTCACAGAAGTCCTGTTTATGTGTTTCTAATACTCGACTCTGTAACGGGGTACACAAATGAAGTTGAATGAATGTTCGGAGAGCCTCTTTCTGCCAATGCAACATATCCTTCACATGTGACTTTGAGCGGATGGTAGAGTACCAGCAGTTCTTCCAGGCGGACGATGGTCATTTTAGCACACTTAGCACATCAGAGTGAAAATGTGGCAGACTTTAAAAAAAAAAAAACACAGAAATCAAAGTGCTGCCCTGACATTGCACACATCTATCTGCATAGAAAATGGAGCTCAGTTTCTCCGGCATCTCTGCTGATTAGATTACTCTCTTCCGTACTTTGTCACGGTAAACTCAGTTACTGATGGTACGGGACACGCTCTTATAATTACTGGACCCGCGTCCCTCTGTGGAATTCCCTCGCGCTTTAATCTAATCTTCCTCTTCATTCACCCCGTGTGACTTTTTGTGCATGTCGAATTCGCAGCTCTGCATCCGGCAACTTCTGTGGCTCGAGGGAAGACTTAACCTGTCTGCGGCACGCGCAGGCCTGAATGTGAGGGTAAAATGTTACCACTGTAATAAGGGATGAGAAAGTGAGACGGCCACGGAGGTTAATTAGAAAGAGATGATTCATAAATGTATCGATTCTCGCTCTTATCGGAGTTCGAAGAGCTTCAAGGAGAAGTCGCCGCGACTCCTTGGGAAGCAGCCGGAGCGTCGTCTGCTTAAAAAAAGTTCTGCAGAATCTTTAAGTAGACTTGCATAAAGCTGACATAATGGTGCTGCGTTTGGATTTAAAAAAAAAGTTTTCTGGTCTGAGTTTCAAGTGCTATTCATCTGAGAGTAAACAACTTCAGCAGAGGGAGTCAGCCGTGATATTTTTCTCCGTTCTGCAGTGCGACCTGGTTTCATTGATGGCGGCAGACAGACAGACGTTTGTTCTCATTGAAGTCGGGTCATCTCATTGCCTCAAATGCTCCAAATGGCTTCCCTCTGTTGCTGGCAGAGAGCAGTCAGAGCAGCTTGCACATAAAGCAGATGTATGGTGAGAGACAGTACTGGAGGGGAGCCAGACTTCTGACACACCAAGCTGTCTGATAGAGGAGAGAGGGGAAAAGTGCAGCTTTTCTACATTTCGGTGCATCTATGAACAAATAAAACAGATGTAATGCTCGGTTTCAGATGGACTGGAGCGTTGGTACCAAACAAACAAATTAACCAAAGTCTCGGAGGACTAAAATCCAGACACAAATTCAAATACTTTTTTTGCACGTGGCCCAAGATTTTATATACTTAAGTTACTCTAAATGACTACAACAACAAAAAAAAGGTACAAACAGTGAGCTATTAATCCAATAAAAAGCTTCAGGCTGTTAAAGCTAAAAAGTAATTTTTGGGGAGAATACATTGAATAAAAATAAGTCCAATAAAGAAATTGTTTTTGCCACTGACAAGGCAATACAAGTTTATGAAAAGAGCACCATTCATACAGAAAGCAAATCAAAGAGCTGCACGGAGTTCAAAACAAAACATTTATAACAATTAGAGCATAAAAATACATGGCATTGAGAAAATATTAGAAAACAGGGGGTAGTTAATCGCACATCACATAGGTGAAAGGCAGAGCAAAAACAGCAGCCTGAGGCAGAAGATATACCTACACACTTTCTTAACAAGTCGCATGTTGAACGTTTGACGACACCTGACATCATAGTGCCTCTGTTGAAATCTACATATATATGGGTGTGACCCATACCTGAAGAAGACCTCAGGTGGAAACGTTGTGATTGTGACGGAATAAAAACATTTGAAGTTTGAGTTATGAAGCGAGACAAATGAAGAACAACTGGTAGTTCAGGAGGAGGTGAAGCTTTGTCAATGGAGTTTGGTGGCACTGAAGAGAGTGATGTTAGGAATGTCTATGGTCAAACAAAACATCTTAATCTTTTCTTCTTTAAAAGAAAGAAAAAAGAGGAATCCAATCTTCAATGTTGTCAGAGACGCATCAAACTAAAAGACACTGAGCCTTATGTATCAGCTGCAAAAACATGAACTTTGGGACAAGGTTTAAAAAATAACAGAGTTAGACTTTAATCTAAAGCTTTCTAGTTCATAATCATTATATGTTCATTTTTAACCTTTTGCTTTAACCTCAACACTATTCCTGAAATAATTCACATTTTTATCTTGGCTCGGTTTGCACATGAGATTTAGGAAAATCTTCAATTCCAACCAGTCTGATCTCACAAAGCACTGTGTGTCTATGTGGATATTTATGTATAACAAAGGGCTAATTTTGTTCCTACAAGCTCCATATATCTCTCCCTCTCCTCTCGACACATAAAGCACACCATCACATCACACTCCGTCGTGTATCAAACATGCAAGTGTTTGAGCTCAGATGGTGAATAGGATGTATGACTACTGAAGCACAGAAACAATGTACTGTATATTAGCAGTATGCGGGCGGTGCGGCACACTTTAACATACATCTCGAGGAAAAATACTTTTTGCTGCTGATATTCTGCGGGAGCATTTGTGACGGCTGGGTAGTCCCACACACTGAGCAGACGCAGCGCCAACATTCAGCCTATTTGAAACTCATGGCTGCATCTGAGAGGCGGTGTGACCACCTGCAGACAGATGGGACGCATAAAACCTGGATTCATTACACCCCTCAGAGTGTGTGTGTGTGTGTGTGTGTGTGTGTGTGTGTGTGTGTGGGGGAGGAGGAAGTGGAAGGAGGTGGTGGTCAATGGGTACCTGTGTGGTTCGGTATAGGCCCTATCAGGTGCAGGAGAGGCTTTTTTTTTTCTCCATTTTCTGCGTGATTAAACTTTGAGTCGACTTCCCTGCATGTTAACATACACAGAAAGCTCCATTAGAGGAATAAAGACTGGTGACAGACAAGCGCGCACGGGCCAGACTGGCCTGAAGAGCAGGCAGGGAGAAATCTGTGGCTGAAGCCTTAGCCTCTGGCTGAACCTGCTGCCGGGGTCAAACAGGAAAGCACACACTCCCTGCTGGAGGCTGCAGGCCCAAAAAGGGAAAAGACGAGAGAATACAGGGCCTCTGATTGGCCCCGAACAACGAGACTGAACCCCACACACACACACACACACACACAGAGAGCCGATACTGGTTTCAGATCAGCCGGACGGTCGGTGTCAGAGACGAGCTCAATGTAAACAACATTTGAATTGGAAAACGTTGCTTTAAATTAGAGTTTGTTTTAGCTGATAACACTGAGACGTGATGTAATAATCTCATCAGGTCCTGATCCGATAAAGACACCGCTAAGACTTTATCACATCAAGTTAATCATGAAGGATTACTGTGGACAATCCCCACAGTATCAATAATCAACCAACAACGCAACCTTCCTGTTTCAATCATAATATCGCTCAATCGTATTTGTTGCTGATATAAGAATACATATTCATTGATAAAAACAAGTCATTTTACCGGGCAGGGGCAGGAGTTGACTGTCTCCTCCTGTGCTGCTGCTTGTGTTACTGCATGTTCGAAAATGACTGTGTTGAAAAACGGAAACAAAACCTCTTTAAAAATCGAAAACAAAACACGTCATCAGAGAAAATTTAAAATGGCCAAATCAGCAACTCCTGTTTCATGTAGTTTATTCACATCCCCTTTAAAGACAACTATGACTGTTCCTTTTTTACAACAGCATTTCATTCTTTAAAACATATATTTATCTGGTTAAATGTATTTCCTTTTTGCTGTCACACCCTAAGAATAACAATCTGAGCCTGTCTTTGACAAACACTAAACCTGTTTAATGTCTGCGGCCTGAAAACGTCCTCTCAACTACTTAGAAAATGTGTTTGTTTTTAACCTTTTAATGGTTTGGATGATTTCATCTCTACGTCCTCCATCGCACCGTGTTACCATCACCACTGT